ATCTATCAAGTATGCTAGGTCCATGTATATGTACAAATACACCAAAGTGAACCACACACACACACATACACATACACACACACATGTATGTGTATATACACACACACACACACACACATATAAAATAGACTAGTTAAAATAATAATAACAATAAAGGGAGATCACTCGCATAAGGCAAGCAGATCTGGGGAAGAAAAATGGGAAGGGAAAGTACTGAGAAATGAGATTGATCAAACCATATTATGTACCTGTATCTATATGGCACAATGAATTCCACTCTTATGTATAATTACAATATACCAATTTTTAAAAAAGAGTCTTAAAATAAAAAGTTTTGGGGAGGCAGTAGCCTTATTAGGTTTAAATCTCCTACTGCCCCTTCTGGAACCAATCTAATCATTTTAGGCACATAGGGTCACTGCTTATTTTCTTTACGAAGTTATATTGTCCAAATTGGAATAATAAGCAGAAACTAGGACTGTATTGTTGAACACCTTAACCATATTGAAAAGCATATAATAGATCAATTTAAAAATAGAGGGGGAGAGAGAGAGACAAAGGAAGGGAGGCTGGGGTGTGGGAAAGAGAACAGGTTAGTTTAAAAAGAGAAAAGAAAACCAAGGCCACTTGGTTATCTGAACAAGAGGATGCTGTGTTTGCTGTGGCTTAGTAACAGGTAGAATTTACATGGACTGCATCTAAGCTTCACACAGCATTTAATACCAACTGGTAGTCTCTCCATCTCTACCCAGCCATCAGTCACATTGTTGTGCAAGGATATGTCCTCCCAATAGAATCCAAAAAAAAAATTGCTGGATTCACAGTAATTGCCCAAAACTCTGCATCAATTTTTTTTCTGATGTGAAATATATCATATGCAAATTTTAATATTCAAATATTTAAGATAGTTTATTTGAAATATAAACAGTTTTCCTTCTATTCAAATTGTTTTTCAAATAATGGAAATATCACAAATTGTCATCTGCAGTGTTTCCAAACAAGTAACTATAATTTGAAAGGAGCAGATAAATTTCCTTTTATGGTAAGAACCAAAATAAAGCTCTCATACAGTACTGCAACTTGGGGTAGCAAGTGGTGTGTTATTACTTGAGGAGGAATAATTTGCACATGTTATATTTGACTTTCTACTTTAATTGCTTTATTTAAGAATCTAATACCCCACATTGAGAAAGTACTAAATATTTATTATGATATTGATATGGAGAAAGAAAGTCATTACAAAAGTACATGTAATATGTTTATGAGGAAAAAATTTTCTGACAAAAATATAATTTTTCATTATATTTAGAGCCAAAAAATTCCTCCCCACATAAATTTATATATCATATTTTCATTTACATTTATTATATTTAGGATTTATTACTTTGTATATACTCAATTGTAAAACCAAACTACAATGCTTACAATTACATACAAATTTATATTACAGGAATATTCTAATATAATAATTATTTCAAAGAGTGTAGTCTTTTGGTAAAAGTTTCATCTTATTAATAAACAAACTAGATCTTAAATTTAAATTAAATTTATTTGTACACTACATATTTTGATATATGTTGTAGCAATCATACCTAAATTCAATATATGGTGAATTATCATGTATGGTAACTTGTAGGAAGAAATTATAATTTAAAAGAAAATCACTGATCTTATTCTATGTGTAAAACACTTGGTTCATTCATTAGTATTTGGTTTATACATATTGCTTATCATAGTGTCACATGTGCAGATTTAATAGATTTTCATTCAGCAGATTAGTCACTAAAGAATAAACCTGCCATTCACATCTATATAAAATACTTAAAAATAAGAAACTAGGAAAGAAATTACTTGTATAAACCCAACAAAATACTCTGTGAAAATTATCTTACCATTCCAATAAAATTGCCAATGAAAAAGTATCATAATTCAGCAAACTTATCTGAGCTCGATTTTAAAAATCTGTAAATGTTAATATGTGTGTATACATATGCTATATTACATATATATTTACAGGTACGTATATTATATTTATAAATAGCTTCTATAGACAACATAAATCTGTTATAGTTATCAAATGTATCAACAAAATTTGTGTTTCTCATACCTTAATAGAATGGTTTTGAAATCATTAGCAATTACTATATAGATGACACATATACATGTATACAATATCATGTACTCCTATAAATGCACATTTGTATCTATCAAATGCTAGCTCCTATATTTTCAAAATAATTTTAAGTCAACTTTAAAAAATCCATGCTCTATTCCCATATGGTTAGCTGTCAAATTCTACTTACTAATCACCTTTCTGTTATTTTTTGATAGTAACTATCATCAACTGTTAAGATGTACTTTCAAACGAGAGAAAAAATACATGTTAAACATCTATACTGCTTGTAAGTACTGTCCCAATTTTGGAAAGAGCAAAATGTCAAAAAAAAAAGTGAAAAATATATTGAAACAATATAGGCATGAGTATGGTGTTTCCAAATAAGACATATTCAACAAGAAGAAATCCTCTAAAGAAAATATGTGAGATTTTTTTTAGTAGACATTCATAGCAAACTGTTTAATTGATATGGTTCAAATTAGGACTTATGCTCTGTGTATCAGCAGCCTCTAGATATTAAATCAAGCAAGAAATTATGTGTATACAAACAACAGAAGAAAGTATCTTGGCATATTATTTTTCAGAAATTGTGACGATAGAAATTATAAATCATTCACAGTAGAGTTAATTCCAAGAAAGCCAGAAAAGATTTAGCATGTGTTATGTAAAATTTTCTATGACAAATAAGAACAAGTATATAAAACCCTACAAATATATGACCCAAAACACATTGCAGAGCATTGATTTCCCAGAGGCCAATGTAAAACTCATGTGCCCAGCTATGTTTATTCTCTCCTATAATTGAAATCCATTCATGCTGCACAATTGCTTTTACATGATAAAATATCTTAGTTATTACATCTGTAACAATAGAGATTCTTATTTATTTTAAATGGAAGTATTCTATTTTACTATTAAGTATTACCTTTATGATTTCTCAATTGTCTTGACCATCTTTAAATTGCTATAATGTATTTTATTCACATATCAGACAAGTTTATGCTTCAAATTTTAAAATTCTACATAAATAGAAAAATTACTCAGGAATTTCATTTGGTGAACTGCATTACACTTTTGTTTCCAAGGACTTTTGATACATTGATATACATTTATTAAATAGATAATCTCAATATAAGGGAATATTTATACTGAAGAGAAAGTAAGGAAATAGTTTCTCAAGCAATTTTATTGAAGGAGAAATAAGTGTGGCTGAAAGGGTAGGAATGAAAAGAGAAGAAGCTGAGGGTTCTAATCATGGAGAAGAAGGAAGGGGGAATAAAGAAGCAATTAATAAAAGAATAGAACCTAGACATTCTATTTTCCTTAGTTTTGTGCTCTAATCTCAATTGAGATCAGAAGGGAAATATAGTTAGATGTGCTCAAACAGAAATGCATTTTATTCATTCACTCAACAAGTTTTCATTAAAGGAAATCCAATAACATGAATTAGTAATTAGGATATTGTATTAGTTCATTTTCTGTTGCCAGTAATACAGTACCACAGACTGGATGAATCATGAAGAAAAGAAGTCTAGTTTGGCTCAGGGTTCTGAAGGTGTAAGATTGAGGTCTCTCACCTGGTGATGGCCATCTTGCTGCCAGAATCCCATGGAAGCACAAGGCATCACACAGCAAGAGACTGGGAACATGTATATGTATATATGTGTCTTCTCACTCCCTCATTTTATGAAGTCACTGGGATTCAATCCTGCAGGCTCCACCCTGATGAGTTTATCTAAACCTAATCAACTTCTCAAAGCCCCACCTCTAAATACCATAGTCAGATTAAGTTTCCACCCATTTAATACATCAACATATGAGGTCTTGGAGGACGTGCAAACAATATCTAAACTAAGATGGATATTAAATCAAGATCAGGTTGAAGGTTCCTCAAAGTTACTTACTTTTTAGGAGAAGCATTTATGTTATTGGAGAAAAAATGGGAATGATCTATAGACTTTGACAACTAATTACATCTAAGACTACCTGTTGTTTGTAATGTGTCTCCCTTCTGCTCACAATAGTCATTTGTGACTTTTTTCCTTCACATCCTTATATCTTGCTTTCTTTTATTAGCAATGGAGTCAGTTCCTCACCTGTTCTACTGGTTCTTTCAAACCAGCATCATCTTTTGATGATTTTTAGACCTTTACAGAGGAGTTTTCAATTTTCCTTGGGAGTTCTTACAGTTCCATATTTGAATACATTAACTAAAGTATAGCATTAATGTTTCAAGGAATCTTTGTGATGAAAGTTATGGATAAGAATAGCCAGAATGACTTAACTAGAAAATTCTCCTCTGCAATGGTTCTCAAAGTGTAGTATGTGGATTAACAGCACCCATTTCATATGGTAACTTGTATGAAAATGCCCTATCCGAAACCTTTTGGGGACAATGGAATAGGTAATTGAAGAAGAGGGAGGTGATGTTCATGCATGCTAAAGTTTGAGAGTCACTGTTTTTTGTTCGTTTGTTTTGTTTTGTTTGTTTGTTTGCATCCTAATATCAGAGGTAACCAAATAATAGCTTTCTTAGTTCCAAAACCACAGATTTACCCCAAGTAGGGGAAGCATTTTTTTTTTTACTTCTCTGATGCAGGAGCTTTTTAATTCATTTTTATATCTACTTATACTGCTATTTATTTATCTGAATGTTCTTCAGTAGGACATTCAGATAACACTGAACAGCTTTACCCAGACATTAAAGCTGTTTCTGTGAGCTCAAAATATGAGAGGGAGGAGCATTAGGCAGGATAGTGCAGGGACACTAGAGCCACAGGTGTAACTGTAGAGGTTACTCAAGTCAGCACTTGAGTCTCCATATCTTGCCCCTCACGTTGTCTGTCTCTTTATAACTGACTTTTCTCATGTCATTTTTCCCCAGATACCTTTATCTATGAATGTGTCAACCTTTCTGGCATACGACCAGCCCACAATAAGTTATTGTGGGGTGCATCATGAGCTTCTCTCTCATAAATCCTTTGAAACGAATGCACAGGAAGATACGATGGAAACACACCTAGAGACTGAGCTGGACCTGAGCACAATCACAACAGCTGGCCGAATCAGTGACCATAAACAGCCACTGGCTTAACTGAGCTGACTGGTGGCCAAGGGTTGCTACCAAACTTTGTAACCTCAAGGACAAAATGAGGAAGATCTGTTCATTGTGACTCTGAAAAACAAAACAAAACAAAAATCCCCTGTTCAAATAAAACAAAAATCAAGATTGATTCATGAAATAAAGAAGACATGAATTGTTTCAAGTCTACACTTTGTAATTAGCTAAGTTGTGCAGTATTTTTTTGACTTAAAGAGTATGACCCTGAAAAAAAAAAAGAATCGATTTTTCAAAACTCATCCTACCTACGTGTAAAAACTGTACAGAGCTAATGTATTTTTCATATTGTAAAGTTTCAATTATAGAAACAACTGGTATGTACAGTACCATAATTTAATTACATTTTACTTTACAAACTTTACACATTTCAGTTTCTAAAATTTTAAATTAACAAAAATTATTTCTTGTGTTATTCAAAGTTACTCAGTTTTGTAGGGACTGTTTTGTTACTGCTTTTGTGCCCAGAAACCTTGACTCTAAAATTCTGTGCTGTGCAAAATATGCACGATTTTTATCATGCTTACTGCGTAGAATTTTATCTACTTGTTCCAGAAATAATACATTAACCAAAAAGGATTTAATTGTTCAGACTTGTAAGAGGTTCTTCAATTACATAGACAGGTTTTTCTTATAAATGAAAAAAAAAAATCAAAAGATTTTTTTAACAGTTCTTCTCAGATTTAACTGTTGCCTTGAATTACAGCCTAGTTTCTAAGCAGTGAAATGTAATGATAAAGAGGGATATTTTAACAACATATTTCCGAATGAATGACTCATTATTTCATTCTTTTGAGTAACCATTGTTAAGGGTTGGGGGGAGAAGTATGGACAAGACATCACTGGGAAACAAAGGCCGTAACCACAGCAACAGACTTTGATACACTTAAAAGGTGCAGCTGCCAGTGACAAAGAAAAACTTTTGTTACATCTCATTATTTTCAGGCCAAGGTGGGAGGAATAGAGCATAATAACTGTACAGTAGCAATTTTTCTTCTAATTAACCCAAAGCGGTTTACCTAAAAATAACCATCAAGTCAGTGCAAAATGTGCCTGGTTCTTAAGACAACTTTTCATTTAGAACTCTGAGACTATTTTGGGAACTTCTCAAAGGAAAAATATGAAATTTTTGTCATTGTGTGCTACATCCACTGCTCCTGAGGGACAACTTTAAACATCTATAATTCATTCAATATAGAAGTGAGCCATGGTGGAGAAATGTATCACTCAATTAGATTATAAACATCCATATTATGTTCCAAATTGTTTACATTGTCCTCCATAATGGAATTCACCTCCAAATTATCTGAAAAATAACTGGGAGTAATTGAATATCAACCCAGGTCCTATATTGATTATGCAACTGTGTTATAAATACAAATCAAATTAAGAAAACCTGACATTTCAGAGGCTGGAATGATCAACTTGTTTCTGTTGTTTACCTGACACGGATTATTGTTTGACAACATTGTTACTATGAAAATCACACATTCTTTTTGGTGTTTGAGTATTTTTTAAAAAAATATAAAACTGCAAGTTTCAATTACTGTTGCACTAGAACAAATGCTTTTTTATATTGTAATTTTATATTTATGATGTCAAAAATAGATTGAATATATGTCAGTGTAACAGGGGTCAAATACAATCAAAGCAACAAAGAAAATAATTAGAAGCATCAATGTCAAATTTAATTTTTTATCTTTTCCAAAGAAATCATATCTACAAAATCTAGTTTTATGCAGGTTATCACAACAAATTGAAGAGCAACTTCAAGAAAAATAAACTTAAAATTGTAGCGCAAAATTTTTTTTGCAAATACACAAAATCAAAGAAAAAAGGGATGTAAAGGTTTGAAGAAATAAACTATTAATTTAAATGTAACTAAATGTGAAACCCCTGATATTTAGCATATCAGATTTTGTAATATATTTTGCATAAATTATTTGTTAATCAAAATTTTGTCATTCTAAGCCCAAATTAAGCTTTATTTTTTTCCAATATCTAACTTCCTTACATTGTATTGTTTTGAGCATTCTTAATCCCCTATGCTGAGACTTGGCTTTGCACAAAATTTATAGAGGGCTACAAATCTCTTATTTGTGGGACTGAAATCAAATGCAAAATTTTATTTATTATGTAAATCAAAATGTCATCTGCCAAGTTGTTCATTAGAAGTTGTCCTTGCAAAGATCCAAAAGAAAGAATTAGTTTGTGTAAATAAGCACTTCAAGTCTATTTTCAGACAGTTTCAAATTGATAAATGACTTAGAAATTTTAAGGTTCCAAGGAGCCTTACAAATGTATGCTTTTATTTCCTGAAACAAACCATTTTCTTAAACATTTAATTTCACCTAAAGTAAGCAACTATAAATAAATCAATTTGGGATGACAGCTCTGAGCATCCAAGTTCCTAAGCTACAGTTAAAGGCAAATAACTAAAATTTTAAGACTTCTCATATTTGAAATTAAAAGGGTCTTTAAAAAGAAAAGAAAAAAAAAGATGTTGGGTTATTTGCTTCATGTTTATTGTGCCATGGAAGAGGGAGGGGGGAATGGTAAACACCTGCTAGAATAGATGGTGTCTGGAATCTTTATCCCTTTGCAATTGTGTTAGTTTCTGTCTAAAATTTTAATTCTAAACTATCTTTTTCACCATTTGATAATTTCCCATTTCCTCCAAGTACCTGCCCTTCCCATTGATGTCTCCATTCCTATCTATTGCTCAATCATTTAAATAACTAAAATCTGTTTACCTGTGTTTGGAGTTGAAAAATGGAGAGTTTGACCCAGTGTGATTACAAAAACAGCAACAGCTGCAGTAAACAATAAAGTTTTGCTGTGTTTTGAGGTTTCCAAACCACACAAACCTTCTCATTTTGTCTTCATATCAACCCTATGAAGACACATTAATCTCAAAGAAATTGAGTCCTCACCCATGAACACTGGGCTAATCACTGATGTACTTTAACCATTCTCAAACTTCACAGGCTATTAGTCTTTCATTAAACTGAAAGCTTTCTCTCTCTGATTAGTGCTGACAACATCCAAGATAGTGAATAGAATAAAAGAAAAAAAAAGTTTGACATGTTGTTTAATAATCTCTACTTTAACTCAGTTCCTTCAGTTTGTATAATACATGAGCTAAATGAACTCTTTCTGGTCTCTCACGCTAAAATTCTATAGCAAGTCACATATCTCAATATATAAGATCATTTATAAATATGTAGAACAGTGACTCCCAAATGTGGATGTAGGTAGTCCCCAAGGTGCAGACAAAAATTCAAGAAGCACAGGGAGAGAAACTAAAAACCGTCTAAATTGAGATTGTGTGGGTAGATGTAAAAAAGATCCATAACACAAGGTTGAACACATACACATGTTGAACACACGTTCAACTAAACACGTGTTTGATTCAGAGTTGATAGGGAAGACTGTATGTTTTTTCTTCTTTTGTTTTGGCAAGATTCTTTTTGAAACAAAATTTTAAAAAACTGTCATAATAGAAAACAAATTTCTCTATTTTCTTTCCAATACAAATGAAATATAACTTATCCAAACTAATGCATAGATGCTAAAACCTGTGTTAACATGCAAATATTTTACTAATCTTTTCATTTTTGTCAAGTCTCTATTCCTACTCCCTCTTTCAAGTTCTAGAAAAACATACTAATTTTTAACATAAATTATATTTTTGGAAGCAAAGAAAACTATTCCAAATTTAACACTCAAGACAAATGACATAACCCAATTTGAACTCAGATCTGATTACATAAACTGCTTAGAAACAGTAAAATCTTTTTACAAAAATACTTTCTAAAATAAAACCTCTATTTATAAAAGTAAAAATACATTTGTTTTCAAATGCTCCTGACTGGAAGACAATATTATCTCTTAAAGTAAAGATTCAAAATAAATAAAGAAACAGAAAGCATGAAAACAGATACCTGGTGTGAACTGTGAGAAAGCTGGTAGAAAGAAAATCAGATATTATGAGTAAATGACAGCAAGTTAAGGGAGAGATAATAGAACTGGCAGAAATTTGGTCTCAGAGAGAAATTGAGAAATCTCCAAAGCAGATATAATAATATAGTTCTTAACAGTTTATCATAGGGGTAGTAGTTTAACAATCTCTTAATGTGTTAAAAAAAAATCTCAAGATCCTGATGAGTTTGTTTTGTAGCAAAAAATCAGAGGATGAATTGGTCTTGTAGCAAAAACTTCTTCTACCCCATTTACCTCCTCAACTTGCCATAGCTGTCCCTAAAAAGAGAGTAGCCAAGGAACAATACTTTCAAAATTCTGATTTAACTACAATCAGTAATGACAATCAGTAATGGTGCTTCATTTTACTGCAATGGAGAAGAAACTTGAAATTTTAAAAACAAATACCAGAGTAGTGATGGGTCATTTTTAAAGGTTTTCCATGGCAAACCATTAGATTTTATTATAAGATAGAAGTAGACTTATATTTACTGAATTCATCTGGATTAATGGAGAAAATAGTTTTAAGACAACATGGATAAAGCAAACGGGTGTTTCCCCCCCCCCATTTATTTGTTTAAGCTTTTATCATCCATCATATCCTTGAAGTTATTATTAAGAGGTTGAGATTACCTTAAGTGCCATGAAAAAATACTAGATTTACTGAATTAGAATCTCTGAGATAATACCCCAAATATGAATTGCTAACACATTACTCAGGTGATACCAATGCATGCTAAGTTTATAATAATATTGCTTAAATAAGGATTTACTTTTCCAAACCAAGTCATTCTAGTGCTTTTTGTCCTAACATGAAAGAATTAATCCTTGTTCCTTTACTATACCAATGTGAATATGGGGTTCTAAGCCTAGCTGAACATTTTTCTTGACTAGAGGACTACAAAACAAAGGAAAACTATACATACAATGCCCAGGTTATTTTCTGACAAACTGTTGTTTAAAGATTGTGCTCCCCAGTAACTCCTTGAACAATCGTATTTGAAAACAGCCTTCAAATAGGCAAGTTACTTCCTTGGATAGTCATAGAACAGCCTAAGAGCTGGAGGAGACAGGAAAGAATTAAGCTATGATGTCAGGCACTTTGCTTTCCTCATCTCATTTTTAACCCATCTTAGTAAAGTGGTATAATCATCACTTCAAAGAAGAGGAAAATAAGAATCATGGTTGTAAGCAACTTACCAATGTTCATAAAGTGGAATTGAGGATTCAAATCCAGATTTACCAGATGCTAAAGGTATATTATTACCACCCCACAGCACATTTTCAAAAGTGAGAAAAGATCATAATCAATATAACTCAGCTCATGGTTTTAATGGAGGGAGTGGAGACAGGAGAAAAAGAATATGCATTCATATTTATAAATGGAAAAATTACAAAAATTTCATACTATGTAGAGAATTCCTTCAAAATCCCAAATTTATATCTTAATGAAAAGAAAGATCATTAGTCTCTTTTTTATACACTGTTTCCTAAAAAGAGTGAACATTTGAAAGAAAGCCCTGCAAACAATAAATGTTCATTAATTATTTTCATTTATAATCATTCAGCCTCTTTTAAACTTACAACTTAAAATATAAGTAACTATCTATAATATAATCTTCAACTGGTCAAAAGGGGGTCAGCAACTGAAGCAAAAATTATATGAATGGTCAATTAAGTCACTAAGTAAAAATGACTAAGTGAAGAAAAACACTAATAATATACAGTCACACACTGTCAATCAGCAAAAAATATGTCATGGGTTGCAGAATGATTCTATATGGCAATATTTTGGGGGAGCATTGTTACTTTCACAAATTATGTCTAGAAGCATACCACATAAATAAGGCAGGAAGATAACCTTTATGAAACAATGCAAACTCTGCTTGTTCTACTCAAAACATATTATTATTATTTAAATTTTAAAAATACATATCATTTTCTTGTTAGGGTACTATAACTTTTTTATCATTATGTGAAGATGGCAAAATAAAATACATTTTTAAAACTTGTTTTTAAACTCCATCTTCAAATAAATTTTCTTCAGTCTCAATTGTTCACAAATGATTCTTAAATTGACTCTCAACTGTTATTGTCTCCAAGAGCTTTTTTATTAAACCACTGTGCTGTCTCTTTTATTTCTCCCTGAACCTGCACAAATTTCAATAATGTCAAGAACAATTACATTAACATTATATTCCACCACTATCTGAACATGAAGTGTACATGTGAAACAACTTTTATTTATAATACATACAGGATTTCAAGTCAGTAAAAATTTCTGTGAGTCAAGCCTACTAAAAATAATCACTAATGTAAATGTGATAAACTAGGCCATACATTTAAAACAATAAATCTAGCAAAGCAATAATTCTAACACCATGAATCTAATTTCACTACATCTACTCATCCTGGCACAATGGAAAATTTTACCTGAAATAGCTAGAATAATTTTGATTCTGAATAATAAAGATGGTCCTGATATCTGGGTTGAAGATTTGGTGAAACACAATGAAGAGGACAAAACACATACCAAGAGGTAAGTGATGGAAATGTGATTTAGTATTACTGGATAATCTGAAAGTAATTGTTAAAACTAAGACTCAAATTTTAGAATAACATTTGTGTTATCAAATGTAATCAGTAAAGGTCAGCATGGACATTAGATAGGTAAGAGCAAATGTATATTTGTGATAGTAATATGTATGAGATAAATGATATATAAATACACAGATAGTTTTGATTATCCCAAAGAGAGAATATTAAGAATAAAAATTAGTTCAAGAACTATCACTGTTAAAAGTCAGAAATAATTTAAAACTAAATGCAAAATGATATTTTCAAGGTTGAATTTGAAATAGCCCCCAAATTATAAACCCCCAAATTTTGCTTCATCTATATAAGTAAATTACATTAATTCATACACATCTAGTAAAAAATCCCAAAATCAAGAAATGAATTGTAATTTTACATATACTCCATTTGTTCTTCCTGCTTTACATAAATATTTGCTTTTAATTACAGATGGATAAATATAGTATCCTAAGCAGTCTGATAAGAACATGATGAAAAGTTGGTCTCTGTTGTCATTCTGCTCTGCCATAAGGCAATTATCAAGGAGGAATATCCACCACAGTGGGGAGCCAGGAAGTGGATTTTTTTTAGTCCTCTACAGCTGGTCTTGACCTAGGCACTTGTAATGCTCATTATCTCTTGGTCTTGCTTCATATTCATTTATTAAAAAAGGAAATTATTGCCTTGAGATAAGAGCCAAGCAGCTCATATTAGGTCAGACTATACTTACACCTTTATCTAGAAATCTAGATAAAGACATTAAATATCTCCACATGCTATCTGGAGAAAAACTTGAGATCCTTGTGATATCAACATTTTTTTTTCATCTTCGGATTTGATGGAATGTTAAGTTCAGTGTATGAGACATTCTTCAAAACTCCTTGCCAGCTTCTTCTTTAACAAACTTCAGATCTGAATTCTTCAACCTATACTATATTTACAAAAGGGTATTCCAGAATGACCCTTTGTATACTTACTTCATCATTTTGTGGAAGAACAATGTAAGGCTTGAATTGTAACATTTACTGACTCTTCCCTGCCTTTAACTCCACTTATGATATAAAATGTGTGAGTTTGATATGGTGTTTTGGTAATACCATAAAACAATTGGAAAAAGAATCTTCTACCAGATAACCCTTTATGTAATAGAAAACAGGTAGTTTAAGGTCACTTCTTGTTAACTTATCTGATAGTTTCCAGATAAACTAAGTGCATGCCTTCTTGCAGCTGAGAATATAAATATCATTTTCCATAATTAAAACATGGTTTTGTTGTCCTACAATTTCACTGAGGACAGACTTCATACATCTGATTGTCTTCTGTAATTGCCACCATAGGATTATATATTTAATTATTTCCAGAAACACTGACTTGATAACAATCACTTTAATATAGAATTATAACAACTAACACTGAATGCTTACTTTTCCAAGTAATTGACACACATTAATTATTGAAGTGAGTACTATTGTTTTCCCCTTAAAAAGATAAAGAAACGGATGCAGAAAGTAATTATATAACATAAAGCTAGTAAATTGTGGAACAAGGATTCAAAATCAAGTGATGGGTATACTGACAAACTGACCCCTACTAACTGTGCATTAAATGCCCCCTGTTAGATCCCAACCTTGAATTTTAAAGTTTATTCATTTAAGGCAATAACTTAAGACATCATAAATATAATGGTTAGAGTTTACAGTATACCTAATATATTCTTCGTAGAAAGTAAGAATTTTTAAGTCCCTGTCCCCAAGAGGCTTTCAATCTTCACAGAGAGAAAAGACATCCACAAAAACAAAAATTCTAATAGACACATTTAATACCTGTAAACAGCAATTATGAGAAAATAAAATCAAATTTCCTAGGGAGTTGAGGATATCTCAGGGCAAAAATGGGAACAGAGATAGAACTTGAGACTGGCAGTATTTAGATCACAAAATCAAGATGAAAGGGTAATGAAGAAGGAAAAGGAAGAATATATTTTCACTTATGAACATCTGTTATTCTGATAGTATTTGTCAGACCCATGCTTCTCTGGAAGAAAAATATCAGGCTTAATTTTTGTCTTGTTTCCCTAAAATTCCAAAGATAATTTTTTTTTCTGGCTGTAGCAAATCTTTTAGCTTTTTATATAGGTAAAATATTTTCTGCATTTTTCAAACTTTGTTTTTCTTATTAATCTTATTTTATCCATTGTGTTTTGTCTTTTTTTACAAGGTTGGGAAGCAAACAATATTGATTCTTTGTGGAAAATGTTGTAAACCAGTTTTAATAAAATGATCATAACCCATTTTAAAGATTGATCCAGGCAGCCCGATTAATTTAAAATAATTATGTGAATTAAACAACTTCTTAGAAGCTAATTACAGTCAAAGGATGTTTGGTATCAAGTAAAAGCATGTTACTGAAACTATTTGGTGTCATATTTAACACATGGCCTTTAGCTTTTTATTTTTTCAACCTTTTATTCTTGAGGTAAGTATTGGTGAATACTAATCAGAATTTTATTCTAATGTTTAAAAACAAAAGTTATTTTTGATTGATACATCTTACAAATAAACTAAAATATTACATGATTAAAGACCATGATCAAACTGTGTAGGTAACAGAAAAAAGACCAGCATTGGAACTCACATGTATTTTAATTAGACTAAACATATCAATATTTAACAATATGTAGAATCATTTTTGCCTTAAAATTACAGATAATTGTCTATAAAGCTATTATTTGAAAAGCACATTCAAATAGATTCACAAGTATTAATTTAGTGTCCTTTTTCTTTTATATAATGATGATTTTTTATAATATGTCACAATATTTAGGTGCTTTCAGTTCAATCAAGTATTTATTCATTTATTCAACTTATAATATGCCAAGGACTGTAATAGTAGACAAAAATGCTTAAAATTGAATAGATGTGATATTTCTAAAAGTGAAATCTGTGCATGATGTTGTAACATAAAGGAGAAAAAATGATTAATTTTGCAGAAATAAAACTAAAAATGATCTCAAAGACTAAATGTATTTGAGACCCAGTGTTCTAAAGTTTGCCAATCACATAACTCTTGCCTGTCCAGCAGGCCCCATCCCTGTCTCCTAATTAGAACTCTGAGATATTTGAAATTTCTACTACTATTAGCTCTGAAAACTATGAAATCTAAGTTTCTGAGTCTGGTGTTTTCTCCACATAGACTCAGTTTTTAAAGTTCAGAAAAAAAATTTTAATTACTACTTCCTACAAATTTATAAATTCAACCCTCAAATAAAAAATATTCAATTTAGTCATTCCATGATAAATACAGGTCATGTGCAATTTTATTTTGAAAAATAAATAAATAAAAAGTAATAAGTAAATAATATAATGGATTGTCAAGTTTTTGTTTTATTTTGTAAAATTCCACAAGCAAATTCTATACCAAATAGCCTATATTGCAGTTCTAACATCGGGCATATGTGAAAAAATGTGAAAGGGATGTATTAGCCTCTGCAATTTAAATTTTCAACATCTACTGGTTACACATAAGACTGTTATTACAGTGAATGAAAATTAGATTATATGTAGAGAGTATTTGTATTTTATTCCATTACCATTAAACGATTCATGAGGAAAGTGAAAAAATTGGTAAGGTGGCAAGTTCACTTAATATATAAATATTCCCAGTTATTCTACAGGTGTTTATTATTATTAACATTTTACTTTATTTTATTTTTTATTTTTTTGCAATTCTGGGGATTAAACCCAGGGCCTCTCTCATGCCAGGCAAGTACTGTATCACTGAATCACATCCCTGGCCCTTTTTACTTCTTTAAATAAGGGGTTTTTTTTCCCACTTAAGAAACACCTGTCTTTTAAAGATACCATTACTCCCAAAGGATTCCATTGTTTATTTGCCTTATGGTAATTTTTTGTTAAATACTAAAGAATGTGCCTTGCATTTAGTCAAGCCAAAATAGAATTAATGAATTCAATAACTAGATCAAGCCATCATTTTCAGATCTTCCTACATATGAAAATGAATATATTTTAATTTTAGAATTTAATAACATATCAATACTAACATGAAGAAAGCTCATCATGAATATTGCCATTTTACTGAATGCCAAGGGAATTCTGTCTAATGTTCTGAAATACTCTTGAGGATTATAGGGAGTATACAATATGGCAAAGGCAGCCAACAGAATTCCCAAATATGGAATGTTCACTGTATTTAAACAATTGTTTTTCAATCACACAGAAATTTTCACTCTAGATAGTTATCTACACTGTGGTCCATGCTATTTGAGTCCACAAAACTGAATTCATTATATTACAACTAGTTCTATTAAATACCTAAAATATCCTTATTGTTGCTTTGTTATTTTTGAAGTACTACACCATTGGGTCTCTAATTTATTACTAACTACAATATAAGTTTTAACAGCTTTTATGTTTTCAAGTTTTGCAATCATTCTTTTGAATCCCAATAAAGAGACACCAAAATCCAGTCTGGAAAACTACAATTAGTTTACAATAAAAATTAATGTGCTTTTCATTTTATGAGGCATTGGGGACTGCTAGGATTTGTGTGAAATACTGACATTTACATTAGTAAATGGAATAAAAGTGGAGCAGGATATACTGGTGATGGCAAATAACTGGACTATTGGACAGTCTCCAGGAAGACTTTGAGAAATGCTGTGAGCTCTCCATCTGCCTGTTGGAATTTCCACATTCACAGGTTATAATGCTGGCTTAAATACAAGCTTGGGTGATCTCTACCACTCATTTTCAGGTTTGTCATCCCCTCCCCCATTTACCAAGAACCTATGACAAGTTTTGGATTAAAATACGCATAATGAGACATTTTAAAATAGTGATCACAAGAAGACAGACAACATTTTATTACTATTCTTGATTTACCCATGGAATATTAGGTTTCCTATAAATTCATTCCTCCAAAAACCCTGCCTTAAAAACATTCAATGAAATAGAAAAGTACAAGAAACTAAGTAAAAGGGCAAAGATAAGCTAAAAATTAAATTGGGGCTAATACTGTACACATATAAAGAGGTAATTCCAAGGAGTTAAGACTTCACCTGAATAATTCATTATTCTTTTGAATTATGTAGGATAATATATCTTGAAATTCTCCATGCATTATGACAGGTCACAGGTGATATTGATGAGAGAGTAAGAAAAGAATATTTAATTTCTGGACCTAAAGAAATCACAAAAAAAGTAATACTTTACTCTGCTTACTTTATTTTTCTTCTCCATTTTTATGTTTTCTTCCTTCCTTCCTAAGTTTTATTTCACATATGACATACACATGTGGTAACACAATTAAGATGACAAGATTGGAAAAGGAAAGCTTACATTAATTTATCTTGTGATATGAATTGTCCAATTATACATTATTAAGTTCTATTAGCTCTCCAAAAAGCATAAATAAGCTTATATTTAACTCAGTACATATCTGTTCAAATTTTTCAAGGCAAATATTTATTTTTCTTCAATACACTGAATATCTCAAATATCTCAGAGCTTAAAAAAAATTCAGGTATGGCACAGAGGTTCTTTTTTTAGGAAGATCTTTTTGCCGAAGTCCCGCTGGGCAAATAACCTTGAGGTGACAAGCAACTTGAAGGTTGAAGCGGGAACTACTTTATTGAGAGTGAACTCAGCAGGAACTGAGCAAGAACTCAAAGTAGCGGGCACCCGAGGTAGCAGGAGCCGCTTCTCTGCAGGGAAGCAGAGGTATATATACTTAACTAATTACACACAGCTTAACTCAATTAACATCATCTAGATACAGCAGTCAGCCAATAAGGAATCCTCATCATCTTAATGGCTAGCTGGCTTTGCTTCACAAACCACTCCTCCTGGCAAAGTGCCAGGCGCCATCTTGACTTGATTTGCATCCCCAACATCTTTTGATGCTTTTCATAAAAGCAGTTCATTGCCCATAGCTTAGTTTTAGGACTTCCTGATTCCTTTGAATACTCAAAGACGTGGTTTTACATGACTGTATGTGTGACATTCTAAGAATGATCCAGTAGCTTGTTAATAAGAATTGCTTAAAAAAAACTTAAAATATCTGAAGTGTGTTTTTGTCAAATCATATGTGGCAGAAAGTTACCTACTGGAGTATGTTTATATATGGTTACTATAAAGAATGGAAGTATAAAAAGAAATCAACTATAGGACATTCCCACCTCTCTCCAGAGTCAAGGTATCCCAGACAACACACCAATCTCTTCAGAATATCAGTATGATTTTTTAATACATGGAAAGTGTCCATGCTATTCACCTATCACTGATCAAGAAATTTCCAAAAGGTAAGTTTCTTATCAAAACAAACCCTGAAGCTTCTAGTATTTAAGCTATTTCATTGTGGGAGGGAAAAAAATCATCATTTAGAAATAAGAGTACCAGTTAGTAATAAATTATGTACAAATCACTCCAGCACAGTATATTTCAATCCATTTCAGTATTTTTATTCTTCTAAAAAAAGTGTCAGAAATGAGGCATGAAAAGCTATTAACTGAATCATTCACATATTGAATAGATGTTGTTGTCAGTGTGTTCTTTCAATGGAAATAATGAACTGATTTATTTATAACTGGTAATTATGATAATATACCTTCATTTTCACTCACTTCAGTATATTATAGATAAGTTATAATTACATTATTTCATACCTGATCTAAAATCATATTTTTCCATAAAAAAAACTTCTTCTTCCCCAGGCTTTTTCTTAATATCAATTGTCATTTGACATGGGTTTAATTAAATTGTTTTAATTTAATTTAAACATTGTTTAAATTAAATTAAATTTAATTGTTTCCTTGTCTAATATTCCCTTTCAATTTTTCTGTCTTTTCCCTCAGTAGAATATAATCATACCTTAAATTTATGTAACTAGAGGATGAAATATGGACTTTATATCAATGCAGAATACATTTATATAATCAATATCAACTAAAATTTGTCATCACTCATTTGGTCAACTTTACCTTGTTTTCTTTCTAAGAAAGAGGTAAACAGAACAGGTAAAGAAAGATTACAGGTAAAGAAAGATTTGTACTTCAGAGAGAAGGACTTCTTAGGGTTAGGAATCAAGGCAAGAAAACTCCATCTCATTTTTAATTTTACAGCAGAAAGGAACATTTCCCTTGAACTTTTCATTTCTAACACTATAACCAATTTTATCTTTGGTAGACATTCAATGATTTTTCCATTTGCTACATAACACTGTACATATATTAGACTCTGTCTTCAATTTGTTCTCCAGTCTATATAAGAAAAAGTCTTTGAGAATTTACTTCTACATTTAATAGGAGATAACATTAGGAAAAATATTCATCATGTTACAGAATATCATTTTTAGAACAATATGTAAGAATTGTATTTCAAGAAAAAAATTCCCAGAGAAATGTTTAGGGTTTATACCCAACGAATACTAGAGCCATGTAACAGACTCAGGAATCCAGAGCTGAGTTACACTCAATCCAGGTTACCTTTCCACCAATGTCTTGGCCTTTTCCTTTTTGATATTTTTCCCATTTCCCTCTTTCTAATTCTTTTTGTTAATTTTATTTCATATATCTTTTATAATAAGTGAACTAAAATTATTTAGGGAGAAGTAAAAAGTATAAGTAAGGAAATAGACTGAAGATGCCATTATTTTAAAGCATTTTTTATTCTACTGCAATGGTGACATTATCTGAACATTGGGATGCTATTTTTTTTTTCTTTCTAGCATCATGCCCACTTTCATTATCCCATCTTTGACTCATCCTTAAGT